CCAGTCAGCTGTTATAGCCAGTCAGCTGTTATAGCCAGTCAGCTGTTATAGCCAGTCAGCTGTTATAGTCAGTCAGCTGTTAATGCCAGTCAGCTGTTAATGCCAGTCAGCTGTTAATGCCAGTCAGCTGTTCGCGCCTCTCAGCTGTTCTAGATTGGGCGAGCAGTAGCTGGCCGCTCGACGAATGCCGAACGTGTGGCGCCGCCTTACGAAGTCGCGCTCGCTGTGGCAGGTCTGACCTGGAGCAGCGCGAGCAGCGCATGCGCCTGCGCACGCTGTCCGCGTCGGCGGCGGCGGAGGCGTCGTCGCACACGCCGCTGGCGCTCAGCTACGTGCGCTACGTGGCGCGCGTCATGCTGCACGCCTACACGTGGAACTCGTCGCGCGCCGAGACGCCCGCGCTGCGCAGGGCCTTCCTGGAGCAGGCGCGCGGCGTGCAGGCCGTCGAGGCCGCCGTCTACAGGGTGAGCCGCTTTGCGACAGGGGGAGCCAATTTGCGACAGGGTGAGCCACCTGGCGACAGGGGGAGCCGCTTTGCGACAGGGGGAGCCGCTTTGCGACAGGGGGAGCCACTTTGCGACAGGGGGAGCCACTTTGCGACGCGGCGAAGGGGACGTTTGGTGATTTAAGTAGAGTGACTTCTGACGTACGAGCGGTTGATACCAATCGGAAGATTCAATACAAAAAAATTGTCGTAACGGAGCACTCGATTGGAAGACCTTGGTTGGTTGTCCGATCGGATGGTTGGTTCAATTCAATGGATGCATGTTCAATACCAAACATTAAGTCGTAACGAAACTATCAATTGAATCTGTCGATTAGTTATTCAATTGGGAGCCTTAATATAATCCTCGCACGTTTTGTTGAGCTACATGCAAGGGGTGAGGTAATTGGTTATTTCATCAACTAAACTATTGTACCAAATCTGTAGCTCGTTTTTATGATCAAAATCATTTCTATTACACGGAAACGATCGTTTCTGGTATTACTTGGCGACAGCGCGGCGAAGGGGACGTTCGCTGATTTAAGTGGAGTGACTTCTGACGTAGGAGCGATTGGTACCAATCGGAAGATTCAATACAAAAGAAATATAATGGAGCTCTCGATTGGAAGCTCTTGATTGGTTATCCAACCGGGAGGGTCAATACCAAACATTAAGTTGTTTCGGAGCTCTCGATTGAAGTTGTCGATTAGTTATATAATTGGGAGCTTCAATACTAAACATTAAGTCGTAACGGAGCTCTCAATTAGTTATCCAACCGGAAACTTCAGTACCAACAATTAAGTCGTAACAAAGCTCTCGATTAGTTATACAATCGGGAACTGCAGTACCAAGAAATGAAGTCATAACGATGATGCCGATTGGAAGCCCTCGATATCTTATCCAATCAGAAGGTTGAATACTAAAAGTTGAATCGAAATAAAGCAGTCGATTGGAAGCTACCTTTTGGTTATCCGATCGGGAGATTGAATACCAAAAATTAAATTCGTAACGAGCCTCTCAATTGGAAGCTTTTGCTTGGTTATCCAATCGGGGGTACCGATATCAAAAATTAAGTCAACAAAGCTTGCGATTGGAAGCTATCGATTGGTTATCCAATAGGGACCTTGAATATCAAAAAATAAGTCGAACAAAGACTCTATATTGAATAACCTCGTCCAACTGTTCAAACATCAGTCATCTATTTGAATCGGTGTGAAAGCTTTATACGTAAGGCCCACGAAGACTAGTTTTATAATCTTTTTCAATACATTTAGAGTTTATACCGTTCATCAGAAAGAAAATAATATGTATTTTAATAATGATATTTTATGAATAAGTGAACATTTGCTCTGAATGTATTTTAAAGACTTAATATGCCTGTAACCAGTGTTGTATTTCAGGTTCTGGATTAATATCCCCTAATCTCGATCGGGTTGTTTCTCCAGTTTCCCTGGTCCTTTGGCCAAATGCTTAGATGGAGTCTGGACGTAAATAATTAGGAATTTCATAATGAAACGCATGTTCTTATTGGAATCATAACAACACTGTTCTTTTAGACAGAAATATTAAAGAACATTAGGACAATTTTGTACAGAACTGCAAATATTTATTATGATAATTAACTCTTAACAGTAACGTTTGTACAATGTTTAATGCAATCATTTTTAATAAAATACGAATAATATAATAAAAACGGTAACCTATCACTTTTCAATGCTAACGCCAAATCAATCAAACAAACCATAGTCATTATTATCAAACCAAAACATTTTCAGTGAGGAGGCTATTGCTTATAAAGTATAATGAAATAAAAAATGACTGTGCCCGTCGTAGATAGAGTTATTGAAACATACACGTATCGCATACCTAACATCTTATTGATCTCCGTGTCCAACGTGTGTCGTTAACTGTAATTGAATGCGAGTCTGACGTAGCGACGCGCGTGTTGCAGCTGACGCACCCGGAGGGCGGGCAGCCGACCTTCGAGCCCGAGGACCTCACGGTGGACGAGCTGCAGCGACTCACCGACGGCGCCGCCAACGACTCACTGCAGGTACCGACCCACGCACTGCAGGTGCAGGCATGCGGCTTGGGCCGACACACGGCATGGGCCGGCACACGGCATGGGCCGGCACACGGCATGGGCCGGCACACATATATTGCAGATACCCATCCCAGTGCATGGGTTCAACTGAACTGTATCTGCATTATGATCCTTACTCGATAGCATTTTTTCATAACTGGGGTGAACGGATTTGATGGATGGGTGATATTGAAGATATGAAGGACTGCGGGTAATATGATTAGCCACATCAGCTATAGGAAATCTCCCGCTCTTTACCTAAAGTAAAATTACTCTATACAAATTATAATACCACAGTGCTTCATAGCACTGTATGTCATCTCATTGCACTACCAACACTACAATGACTCTCTCAGAGACATTTCTTCGGGATTCTCCTGTTTTCGGGAGCTTAGAGCTCACCCCAGCTGGGACAGTGCTCCACAGGCGGAGATACCTAGTTCAAAAAAATCTCGCTAGCCGACTGTAAGGCATTCACCAGTGAAAGATCACCTTAACCTCTCGAATAATACTCATGCACTACACTTACGTGACTAATGGCTTGAGCAGTGACGCACCCAGAATCACTAGTCAATCAATGAATAAATCCCGTTTCCTCTGCTAGTCATATAAGCGTGTGGTCGATCTCTAATAACTTGATATTGCATCATCAGTTCATTTATAGTCGATGGTAAATACCGTTAAAATCCCACATTACACCTTCTCTAACGAATGGCAAATTTGGGATAGATATGGCGACACTTATCACAGAGAAAAAATTCAATGTTCAAAAAATCTCAAATAATTTTCGCTCCTTCTTACCGCACGATCCTACAGGTCAATAATAAGGTGCGACTCATCTATCTTAGGAGGCTGTATGTATCGATCGCTGTGCAATAAACCGCGTGTATACTGTAACAAACAGTCTTTGATTCTAACATTCTTTCAGTTATTGTCAATATTTGGCACATTTCGGAACTGTGTTCGACGTAGTTCGTGGAATAGTCCTATTAAATACCACTCGTGGTACGCAAATTCTCAGCAAAATTTGACTTCGTGGTTATTTATCTACAATTTCTGAAACCCTCGTGGTATTACCTGTGATGAAGTGGGTTCGAACTGCAGTGATTGCACTAAAGAAGGTGGGTAACTTTCCGCACTGTCAACGTTTATTTTCTTCCCTCATATTGTCAAAAATAGTTTTTATAATTCAAATTAACGCAGAATACTTGTTTTAGCCTAGGGTCGTAAAACAAATATAGCGGACACCATCAAATATAGTAACATAACAGGGCACCGAGATAAGTTGGTATCCGCGATAGTTTAGGTGGTATTGTACTCTAAGGGTCCCGTGTTTCAATCCCACAATCCCCATTTCATACCATCTCCATTATCTATTCCTCGTTGTCTGTCCGCCATTTTCCCCTCTCTCTTTATCTCTTCATTATATTTTCTTCATTTTTCATCATTATTTCTCCCCTTCTCTCCCTCCCTTACACTGCAACTTCCTCCCTTCTCTCTTTGTCTTACTATCGCCTTCAGTCTATCCCTTTCTACCTGTCTTTCCTCTTCCTCTCTCTTTCATTCTACTGATATTGCAAACTAATCGAGGTTTAGTGTGTCTCTGGTGCGTTTGAGGTTAAGAAGTGCGCTCTCTCATGACGACAGTGAGGCCAAATTCTGCTCTTTTCCGCTGACCAGTATGAACCAAAACTAAACGTCGTTGGTGTCGACGAACTCCGCAATGAGACGGAGCGCTAGTGTAGCGCTAAAATAATTTGTCCTGAACTTTTCCAATTTTTATCGAAGCGTATTTTCTTCTCTCTCCTCAAATCTAAAAACTATTCTTATGAGACTCCGGTGAAAAGGAAACATTTCTGTTAAGCCTCCCACGCCCTTTGTGCTTCGAAACATGTCTTAATAAATCACAAAGAAATATTTAATTTTAAAGTGTGCCACTATTTCAATACAACATTTAAAATTCAAGCCAACTACCTGCAAGTGAAAAAAGTACAAAGCTATTGTTCCCAGTCTTCTTCTTCTTCTTCTGGCGTAAAATGACGTCGTTTTCGAGTTTAAAAAACACAACAAAGTTTGCGTGTTAACAGACACTGCGTGACTCCAACAGAGTTTCGAAGTTTTCGCATTTCTAAACGCACAACTGTGTTACAAGGGCCGGAAATTAACGCGTAAGCGAGTTGTTTTGTTTTTTATGATAGATTGGCGTATAACAGGCACATACCATTCAAGTATATTTTAGGTCGTAGCACCTATTTGTACGATGTTTAAAGTTTTTCCATTTCCGCCATTTTGATCTCTTTTTATTGCCAACCATTTCTCTGCATGCTCAATCTATACTCCGATTTAAACAGAAAGGCACTTCAGAGTCACGAGCTTAATGGAGATGAGGTCATTTGCATCCAATTGGGAGTTCCAATACCAAAAATTTAAGTCGTAATGCAGCTCCGTATTGGATGACAGTGCCCCTCTCTCCGTCCAGCTCGTGACTTAGATGTGTCACTCTCTTTAAATATAAGTACATAGAGGAAACGTGGGCAAAACTGCGAAACAATTAGATAAAAAAAATCAAATCAATCAGATACTTCCCAAAACTTGATAATCACGTGACATGAACGATAGAAATACTTATTCTCTAGTAACATGTTAAGAATTAAATGTCTCAGACAACAGCAGTTCTGGCTCTGTTTACTAGGATTTAAAAAATATCAAACAATAATATGGATTATACGAATAACTCTTAATTGTAAATTACTGTGCTAATACTGTTTAAATCGTGTGTTCACTCTTTAATTTAAATCCTGTATTGAATTGTATACCATGTATAACTTCAGTCGCTAATAACCTTGTTGTTCATGCAATTCAAATTATTTTTTTAATATTGAAAGATAGTGAAACGTAGCACTGGGTTCCTATGACAGATTCTTTTTATTTCCCTCATTCTCTCTTATTCCTATACACTATCGGTTATCTTTTTTCTCTCTTTTTGTCCCTGCATTGTTTAGATGATAATGCGGTTTTTGATGTTAATAAATAGAAACTTTAGATTGTGGCAATCTTCTACATCATCACCTTATGTCATACCCAGATTCTCATTTTACATTCTCGTACATTTGCTGTAGAAAAAGTTATAAAATACTGCAGAAAAAGTGTCTATATTTTCGTAGAAAAAACATGGGTCCTTGAGAGCGAAAAAAATTAAACGTCGTCGATCTGTGAACAACATAGTTCCTAGACCAAACATCGGAATTAAGCTTAGCTCCCAAATTAATATTCTACAATCGACATAACCCGACCCACACTACATGCACTATGCATGCAGGTCTAATGATCAGAACATTTTACGAGCCTCAAACTTCAATTTTTTTGTTGCCCTTTTCTTTTTGTATTTTGTAATCAGCTTGTTTTTCGCTTAGTTGTCCATTATAGTGCACGCCACGTGTGTGCAAGTGTCGCTTTGCTACCCTACACGTTTGTATTCAACGAACATTGAATTCAATGCGCCCAGAAAACCAATCGTTTTCCTTTGCTCTTGTTTTTTCGCAGTTGCCTATTAGACTGGACGCTATGTGTGAATGCAGGGGTTGCTGGACCCGCACTACACTCTTAAGTCTAATGATCATAGCATTCGACGTGCTCAGAAATATCAAACATCAATAGTTTTTGTTTGTGGTTTTTCTAGTGGTCTATAGTAATGGATGTGGGTGCAGGTGTCGTTTGACCTGTACTACACTCATGGGCGCATAGTTTTTGTCAGGACAAACATCGTTCCCTTTTGTTTATTGTTGTTCACTTAGTTGTCAATTATAATGGTCGCGTGTTCAGTTGTAGCTGGACCCGCACCACACCTATGAGCCATAGCATTCGACGCGCCTGGAAACATTAATCCTTTCCACTTTGGCTTTATTTTTTTTCGCTTAGTCAATTTAACGGACACGTGTGCACTGTACCTGCAGTAAACTCATAGACAATAGTTTTTGATGTGCTCGGAAACTTCAATCGTTTTCTTTTATTTGTTGTTTTTTGCTAGTCTATTATAAAGGAATGCGTGTGGCGATGTCGCTGAACTTGCAACATAATCATGGGCCATAGCATTTGACGGGCCCAGAAGCATCTATCGTTTCATTTTGTTTTTCGCTTGCCTAATATATTGGACGCGTGTGCAGGTGTCACTGGTCCCGCACTACACTCTTAGACCATAGCGTCCGACGCACATATAAGCATTAATAGTTTCCCTTTTTTGTTTTTCGCTTATTGTTCGTCGTTTTTATCAATTATAATGGACGCGCGTGCAGGTGTTGATGGCTTCGCACTACTTGTACTACGCGCATATGCCAAATGATTATAGCATTCAATGCGCTCAGAAACAAGAATCGTTTACTATTTGTGGTTTTTACTTAGTCGTCTATTACGATGGACGCGTATGCTGGTGTCGCTAGACCCGCATCACACTCATTGACCATATCATTCGACGCACCCAAAGCTGAATAGTTTTCTACTGGCATTTGTTTGCTGTCTCCCGGTTAGTGGTCTATTACAGTGGACGTCATATTTCTGTTCATATGCCGTTGGACCTGCACTACTTTGACTACGCTCTTATGCCAAATGACTATAGCATTCGACGCGCCTGGAGACATCAATCATTTTCTACTGGTGTTTGTTGTTTTCCGCTTAGCTATATAAATACAGTGGACGTCATGGTGCTATGAATGTCGTTAAACCGGCACTTCTTGTACTGCACTTATCTGCACAGCATTGGACGCTCCCAGAAACATTACTCGTTGTTTGTTTGTTGTTTTCCGCTTGACTATTGTTATGAGCGCGTGTCCAGGTTTCGCTGGACCCGCATCACACGCATGGACCATAGCATCCAACGCGCCCAGAAATATCAATCGTTTTCTATTTGCTTTTGTATGTGGGTTTTCGCTTAACTGTCTATTATAAGAGACACGAATTTAGGTGCTGCTGGTCGTGCACTACTTACACTACGTTCATATGCAACCATAGTATTGGACATACTCAGAAACATAAATCGTTATTTGTTTGTTGTTTTCCGTCTGCCTATTGTAATGATCGCCAGTATAATGATTTTGTTTGCTGTTTTCCGCCTGTCTATATAATGGTCGCTAGTATAATGATTTTGTTTGTTGTTTTCCGTCTGTCTATTATAATGATCGCTAGCATAATTTTGTTTGCTGTTTTCCGCCTTCCTATTATAATGGTCGTTTGTATAATGATTTTGGTTTGTTGTTTTCCGCCTTTCTATTATAATGGTCGCTAGTAAAATGATTTTGTTTGTTGTTTTCCGCCTGTGTATTATAATAATCGCTAGTAAAATGTTTTTTTTGTTGTTTTCCGCCTGTCTATTATAATGATCGCTAGTATAAAGATTTTCTTTGTTGTTTTCCGCATGTCTATTAAAATGATCGCTAGTACAAGGACTGTCTGTTGTTTTCCTTGCGTGTCTATTATAAGGGTCACGTGCGCAGGTGTCGCTGGACCCGCGCGCCACTTGCCCGCCGGCGGAGAGCGCGTGCCGCGTGCAGGGCGTGCGCTGGCGCGCGCTGCTGCAGCGCCTCTTCGCCGGCGCGCGCAACGTCACCTTGGAGCTTGACGGGCGCGACCGCCTGCTGCTGGTGAACAACGCGCGCTACCTCAGGGCCCTGGCCGCGCTGCTGGCGCGCGTCGACCGCACCGTGCTGCGTAAGTCATTGCACCACAACCACCACCACCACCACCACCACCAACAACAACAACAACAACAACAACAACAACAACAAAACAACAACGACGACGACAAAGACAACGACAACAAAGACAACAACAATGACAAAGACAACAACAACAAAACAAGTTACCAACACAAACATCGAACAGCATCACCACAAACAACAACAAAACAAGTCACTTACATAAACACTGAACAATACCGTTGCCACCATCACTATCAACAAGAACAACAAAAACAAGTCACCACCACCACCACCACCACCACCAACAACAACAACAACAACAACAACAACAACAACAATAACAACAACGACGACGACAACGACAACAACCAAAGGAGTCACCAACACAAACACCGAACACCACCACCACCAACAACAATGCTAACACCAACACCAACAAAATAGGCACCCACACAAACACCGTACACTACAGCCACCAAAAGCACTGCCAATTGAACCACCAACACTTTCATAGACTCCGAAATCTATACCATTATTACCACTATCACTACCACCACCACCCTACTCCATGACCACCGCCACAACCACATCTATCTACATCTGTACCGTAATCACCACCAATAACTTCACAGACGCCAGAAAATCTAGCGCCACTGCCTACATCACTTACACAACAAGAACAAGAACAACAACAATAATAATGATAATGATAATAATAATAATGTTAATGATGATAATAATGATAATAAATAATAATAATAATAATAATAATTATAATAATAATAATAATTATAATAATAATAATTATAATAATAA